AAGAGTGTGCATTTTACCTGGGATTTTTGACAGTAATCAACTATTTCAGTGGTTTGTGTGCCCAAAGTTTAATTGTACCGTATCTCTGTTGATTCTGAGCACGAATCTGCACAAAATCCTGGGAATGCTCTAAACTCAGCAGATCTAACTAAAACCTTTCTCTTCTAGATAGAGTTATTGGACACTGTTGCCTTAAATTTGCACAGAATTGATAAAGATGTCCAGAGGTGTGATCGGAATTACTGGTATTTTACTGCTGATAACCTGGAGAAACTCCGCAATGTCATGTGCAGGTACGACAGCTTGTGAAGTGAACTGCTCTTCACATTCCTGCCATAATCCATAAGCTATAACAATATGCAAAGAAGAGGCTCTATAAAAGTTCTCAGTAATGAACTAAGAAACCTTGCAGGAATTAAAAACCCTACCCCAGGTACCTCTTAAAACTCAGGGCTTTTCTCCATAGGCTTTATTGCTAAGCAATCCCTGTGTGTAAGGTTTGGTCCTCGCCCTCTGAGCAGAAACTGATATAGGCTGTGGAATACTCTGGAATGGGAAGTGTCAGAAAGTTCTCAGAGCTACACATTCAAGAGCCGCTTGAGATCTGATCTCACACAATTTAATTAGACTTTAATATTAAGCTTTTGAGGAACAGAAGGAGAAAAAAATCACTATTAATTCATTCTGTAAGTAGACAACTGATCATGTTCTTTCACAACACATGAAGAGCCTTCAAAAAAAGCAGGAGTCACGGTCGAGGAGCTGTTCTGTCTCACATGCTGCTGTCTTCATCGTGGGTTGGGTATAAAGCCTTTAGGAATTTTCCTGGGGAAAAAAACCAAACAAACAAGCATAAACCAACAGAAACACTTGTCATTTTATACCAGTGTGTTGGAAGATTTGAACTGTAGATCTCTGTGGGCTTTAACTTTCACAGCATCCAGAACAAGACACTTAAAAGCTTCCAAGAGGAGTTACGTTTTAGGCGTAAGACACGTTTTTGGGGCCACCACGCAGCAAGAGAATCTCTAATCCTATTATCTCTTGTGTTTTCTTTCTGCAGTTACGTTTGGGAGCACCTGGAAGTTGGTTATGTTCAAGGCATGTGTGACCTCCTGGCTCCTTTGATGGTTATACTTGACAATGGTAGGAAGGGGTTTATTTTGGGACATGTTGGTCTCTTGAGGGAGGTCTGGCTTTAGAAATGCTGTTTCGGAAGCTGTATGGGTTAACCAGGGCTAGCTCAGCAGCAGAATCAAACCTGCTGAAATGGCTAACATCAGTATCTCGGGGATTCCCTGCTCACTCACAGACTTCCAGATGAAATTCCACTAGATTTCCAAAGCAGCTGCACTGTGGCAGTTGCTGACACTGAAAAGTAACTGCAAGGTGGGTTCTTTTGAAACATCACTAGTAAGAATGGTCCAGAGTCAGGTACCATCTTCTGTTACATCTGAATACCTGGTGATGGGACGAGGGAAAGGAAAAGGGGAAAACCCTGTTTTTCCCTGGCCCTGCAGTTTGTTACTTGGCTCAGGGAAGTCCCACTATTGGCAGCACTGAGTGTTGTGTGTTGTGTCTGTAGATCAGCTGGCTTACAGCTGCTTCAGCCACCTGATGAAGAGGATGAGCCAGAACTTCCCCAATGGAGGTGCTATGGACACACACTTCGCCAACATGCGGTCCCTGATCCAGGTAAGTCTTTTTAAATCTTCTTTGGAAGAAGATGAGGCTGTGGCAGAGGCTCAGCACTAGCCTGATGCCACCGTGAAGGGCAGGAACTCCAATGGCTCCTTGTCATCTGGTACCTCAGAGCTGGGGAGGACAAGAATTGCTTCATGCAGCCCCCAAGTGATTCCTGTTACTCAGGGGACACCATCTGCTGTCACTGTGTGTGTATTCACACACCGTGTATTACAGCAGCTCAGTTCATCTTAATTTGACAAAACCAACCCCAAACATCTGCCTCCAGCACAGCAGCTACACAGTGCAATGACTGCTGTTTATGGCTCAGTCCAGCTCCAAATGAAGCTAATGAGAATCAGCAGTAAGATCCAGTCTTCAATGCTTTTTGGAAGAGAGAACACTGATATTTGTGGCACAAACTTAATTTGTTACCAGTTGGAATCGCCCATAGCTGTGTTTGTATTCACATAAGATGCTTGCTGAATGGGGGTTTCAGACAGACGTAAGGCCCAGACATTCCGCTCCAGAACACCAGGCGCCTGAGCAAGATCAGAGTATCAGGATTGACTGTTGGCACCTCATAACTGCACAGCAATAACCCTACACCCTTCAGCCTGTGTCAGGGCACCCCCACCACAGGCATTTTACAAACACACAGTAAAAGGATGTCTCTGTGCTAAGAGCTGCACTGACCAACAGGAATGGGTGATAAAGAGCAGCCTCCACCACCTCTGACCTTGGCTACTTTCAGACCAGATACTGACAGCTGATGGGTTTGCATTTTAGATTCTCGACTCGGAGCTTTTTGAACTGATGCACCAGAATGGAGATTACACTCACTTTTACTTCTGCTATCGCTGGTTCCTGCTTGACTTTAAAAGAGGTAATAATGTTCTCTGCCTGTAGCTTAGAGTTGTGCGAAACTGTGTGTTGGTCTAAATGTCTGGCTGGGGAGTAGCAGCTAGGGACAGAGGAGAGATTGTAGCCAGGAAAGCTAATGGGACTTTCAGAGATGAACTAGCACTGGAATGAAGTCAAAGCTCAGAAAAGGGTGCTGTAAAGTCCTGATAATGTGGTTGGAGCCAAGTTTCTGCTCAGTGCAAATGCTTGTTTGCTTAAGCAGGTGATCCCAAGTTGATCACACTCCTTTGTGAGCTTTGGTACCTCCTTTCTAATCCATTACATAACAAGGAGCAGCTCAGCAATAGCTCAAGAGCTCTTGTACTTTGCTGAGTGAGGTACTTTATATAGTGAGATCTCAAGAGCCCGGCACAAGCACACTCACCTGCACCCACTCCAACAGAAGCAGTTGCTTATGATCGAGGACTCATCTTGCTGTCAGGCAAGTCAGTAGCTCCTTGGAATTATGGACTGATCTGCAAGAATCAAAAGACAACAGCCCTCTCAAATACCCTAAAGCACGAGGGTGACAGAGGGAGATGATGCACATCCGTCAGATATTCATTATAAGCAACTATTTGGCGGGGGTGGGGTGGGTAATTGTGACTCTTAACTGAATAGTAAACCCTCTCCCTTTCCTTCATGGAGCATTGCCTGTCCCCCACATCCCAAGCCCCAGGCCTCATTGTTTCAGACTGGGCAAAAGATGAGCCAATATTGTGCAAGAAGATGAAGCTTCCATGGGCCATAGCTGAATTGTGGCATGTGTAGACCCAGTTACACACATGTGCTATACGTAGAACCAGCAGGCCTACCCATCTGCCCTCACATGTTACTGCAGTTCAGGCATCATCCCGGGGTTGAGTTTGCACCATCACACCTATATTCTTTCTTAATTTTCCTTTAACCCTAATTCTTTTGCCACACTTGCACAAATAAGTGACAGGAGTTGGCTGGGGGAGAGGAAAAGGAGTCATCAAGTACTATTCATGCCTGCATAAGGCCTGTAAGACGTTAGTTAGAGAAGGGGAAACGGTCAATTTGAATAATCAGCTGCTCTTGTAATGTTTATTCCCATTCAGAATTGTTGTACGAGGATGTATTTACAGTGTGGGAAGTTATTTGGGCAGCAAAGCACATCTCTTCAGAACATTTTGTCCTTTTCATTGCCTTAGCACTTGTGGAAGTTTATCGAGAGATTATCCGTGATAACAACATGGACTTCACTGATATCATCAAGTTTTTCAATGGTAAGAGACTTTAAGAGAGCTATTTGATAAAAAGCAAGCGATGAGAGTTTGTTCCTTCTCCCTTACTCAGACTGTCTGCACTTGTGTGCCATGTTCTTGCTCTCATGACAAGCCCCTGGTCATTTTAAACCAGAGTCTCTCACCCCTTCATGTACATGAAGGGCCCAGACTCTCACATGGTTCCTGAACATCTGACTGGTATTTTCAAAGGTTTGGAAACAGTTCTGTGTGATGACAGTAATTCACCACATGATCAATGCTGTGGCCTTCAGCCATCTGCTGCAGAAGCCCCAGATTTGGGTTTTTTGCCTCAGCCACTCTTACTCCACAGCTGTACATGATTGTTCCCTCAAAAAGCCCCCCAAAACCCAACCAACAAACCCCGGTCCCTGCCTAAGCTGAAGGAAGTGTTTGTTGTGGATCCGAGGGTTTGAGTCAGTCGAGAGCTGCTTTCTGATCTGACCAAGCTGCAGAGTGCAGGTATCTGCCTGGGGAACCACGTGGGCACGTCCCCCCATGTACGTGAAGCCCTTCCAACTGTACTTACCGTTTGCATCCCCGACACTCCAGCAGCAGTCCCTGCTGGGAGAGGCACCATGATCCAGCTGGATTCAGCTTCACACTCTGAAGCCCCCGGAAGGCTCTTCACAGGCACGTGAGGTGCAGACCCCTCCATGCTGGGGTCACGGGCACCGGGATCTCTGCAATACAAGAACTGACACCAGGGGCATTAGATCTTGATGCCGGGACCTACAGCAGTAAGAGATTCATCCCTTACTCTATATTTAATGCTACAAACCCAACCCCTGCACTGCTTTTGGATTGCTGCTTATGTTACACTAAGGAATTCACACTAATGCTACATTAGCATCAATGCCAGGGCAGAGAGTCTGCTGCTGAGAGTTAAGAATATTTGTCTGTGTCTTTTAGAAATGGCAGAGCACCACAATGCTGAGGAAATCCTGAGGATAGCCAGAGACCTGGTCTACAAAGTGCAGACACTGATCGAAAATAAGTGAGAGGGACCAGACTGTCGCCGTGGGCCTCGCTGGGAGCTGTGGGATGGAGCACTTCTTGCACTGCAACTGCAAAACGGGGGTTTAACTGCATCTTCCATGTAATGTAATAAATACCAGAGAGATTTGTAACGGACTTTTAAAACCAGAACTCTTCCTCCACCAGACAAGGTTCGTGTTTGATAAGTCCCAGTTACACTCACTTTGTATTTCTAGACAAAATCTTTTTGCATTCTCTTGCTCCCCTCTGTCCACATATTTGAGATACTAAAAAGGGGGGATTTGACATACCAGAACATTTGTATTTTGACTTTTACTGCACCTTTAAAGCCTGGATGCACGTTGGGTGCTGTGCCAGAACCTTCCGTGGGGGGTACAGCCGGATCCAGTATCACTCAAGTCTTGCAAGTGTTGACTTGGGTCCTTGCAGGAGCATGTTGCTGGACTTGTCTATGCCTTGAACAGGGAAGAGAATGCGTACGAGCTCCTGTTGCTAGAACATTTGGCTTTGTATTTAGTAAGTACTTAGCAGCAGTTAAAGTAAGCAAGGTTACCAGCTGGGAGAATGGCCTTAAACTAAACAACATGGTTAATACAAGCAGTGAAGATCTGGCACCATAAACTAAAATCATTGCTTAGCCTGTGCTGACTAGTTCATGCTGTTGAGTCTTCATGGCCTACACTTGCCTTCATTTTACTTTGCAAACTTACTGTGACTACCCCCAGAGGACGGGCCCTGCCCAGCCCAGCCCCCAGGAACGGCTGCGTCCCTGCGCGTGGCAGCAGCTCCCACGCTCCTGGTGTCTGTGCAGAGCACCACAAAGCTCAGACCCTACCTTAGCGCAGACACGGCAGAGCCTGGCCACCTCCCGGTGACTCCCTGGGCGTTACTGTCCAGCTCCTCCTGCTCTGCAGAGCTTTCCTGGAGGACCTGCCTTGGGATCTGCCACCACCAACCGGGTGCTCTCTGCTCCAGCTGATGAGGCAGCTGGAAGCGTTGCGCAGGACCTGGCCCTGCTGCTGCAGCACGTGCTGGTCCCATGGAAGGTCCGTGCTGCTCTGTCCCCTGCGTGGCCACACGCTGCCGCAACCGCAGCAGCAGCTGTGTCCTGCAGAGAGAGCAGAGGTGACTGAGAGGCGCCCGCAGGCCTGGTGCTGTCCCAGCGCTCCATCACCCTGTATAAATCATCACGTACCCGCTGTCTGCTGTCCCCGGGCACGTGGAGCTTCCAAGTCCAAGTCTAGGTGTGGATTTCATGGGGACTCGTGTCCTGTGCTCCTAGAAAACCAGGGGACTTGGGTTAAGCACTTCAATATTCCAAAGTATCCACCCCCTGCCATTAGAACCTCAGTGATTTAGGGAAAAGAAACCAACCAACTTTGAATCTGAATTTTTGCGTTTCTGCTTTTCTGGGTTTTTTAATGTATTTTCTTTCTCCTGGTGAGCAGACGGGGACTCAGCTGCCTGTCAGTGACCCCTGCAGAGAAAGCAGCGCTGTGCTTGTGCTACTCACAGGATGGTTGGGGTTGGGCCAAACCCCCTTAACCCGGGCTCTAAAAACCTGAGGGTAAAAAAACCAAACCCCAAACCTGATGCTCCCTGTGGCTGGGG